AAGTGTGTACAACCATGCCTTGCAACTCTTTACAAACTACAAGTTTTTAGGAAAAATTCAAGTTTTCCATCTCAAATTCATCATTTGTATAAAATGAGAATGTATAGGGTTGTATATATCAAGTATGAGGTAATGTAAAATATATGTTGCTTCTGGAGTTTAAAGATTACAGTTACAAGATAGTACATGTCTATAATCTCAGCACTTGGGGGAAGGGCAGGAGGATCAAGGATTCAAGGCCAGTATATGCTACATAGTGAGTTTGAGTCTACCCTAGGCTACAGAGCCTTGCTTCAACTTCCCTACCCCCACCAGTACTATTATTATTTGATTTTATCTAATCTAATATGCTCAGATTATTTTGGGGTCTTCTGTAGTCTCTCTAGAAATGTTCAAATATCAGCAGTAAAAAGATGTGTGGAATGTGATCCTTTTCTACAAGGAAATGCGTTACTGTTTACTGCAGGTGATGTATGTACAAATAAGACAAGCTTGTCAGTACTGCAGAGAGGAAAAGTAAAGGAACTGAGGGGAAAGGATTTATCTGAGTCGTGAGGAGAAGACAGGCTCTTGAGAGCTCAGTGCTGAGTGATGTCCAAGCTGAAGACAAAGTAGGAATGCTACTTTAGAGGGAGACCCTAGCACGTGTGGAGGCATGGAACAGTGACTTAAGTTTTTTGTCATTTTGAGACAGGGTCTACCTCTAGCTCCAGCTGGCCTGAAACTCACTATGTAGATCAGGATAGCCTCAACCTCATAGAGATCCACCAGCCTCTGCCTCTTGAGTGCTGGAGTTAAGGGTGTGTGCCACCACACCCAGCTAATGACTAAGGCTTTTTTTGTTTTGTTTTGTTTTTAAATTTTATATGTCTGAGTGTATTGCCTGTGTGTATGTAAGTGCATCTGTGTCATGCAGTACTCTTGGAGGTCAGAAGAGGATGTCAGAGTCCCCTGGAACTGGAGTTACAGATGGTTGTTAGCTGCCATATAGGTGCTGGGAATTGAACCCAGGCCCTCTGCAAGAGCAGCCAGTGCTCTTAACCACTGAGCCATGACTAAGATTTTTAAAAGTTGTTCTGTAGTTACCTAGCATATGCCACATTGCTAGGTATATCAAAGGATCAGTTTTGTTGACTAGGTTGCATATTACTAGGTTGCATTTGATGAATAATTTTTTAGCTATTTCTTTCCTTTATTCTTATAATTCTTGTTTGTTTTATAATGTTTTTCATTATTCTTAGTTTTTAAAGCCTTTTTTTTATAAAATTCTGGAAATTGAACTAAAAAACCCCATGAATGCTAATCAGGTATTCAACCACTGAGCTACATCCCTAGTCCCATCTTTCTCTTTAGTCCCTGCTGCTTTTTTTTAAAAAAATGTGTATTTATTTTTATTTTCCATGTATGAGTGTTGTGTATGCATGAATATATGTGTACAATATGTGTGCAGTGTCTATGGAGGCCAGACCACACTAGCTCATCAGTTAAGAGCACTGGCTGCTCTTGCAGAGGACCCAGCTTCAATTCCCAGTACCTACATGGCAGCTAACAACTGTCTGTAACTCCAGTTCCAAGGGATTCGATGCTCTCTTCTGACCTCTGCAGGCATTGCATGACATGGTTGCACTTACACACATGCAGGCAATACACTCACACTTAAAAAAAAAAAAAAATTAAAAAAAGATATTTTAAAGTTCTATTTGAATGTACAATTTGAGGTAGTAAGTAACCCTGTTTACATTTCACAAGTCTGTTAGACTGTTTTGCAAAATTTATGTCACCAGATTGTGCCTTGCCTCAGTCAGCTTCTTCCCTCAAAATCCTGTAAGAAGTATATCTGTAAATGGTGGGCCAAATGTTGTGGCCAGCAATGGGGAGGCTGTTGCAGGATTGATGAGAGCTGGAGTCTCTCCTGGACTACAGTGTGAGGCCCTGTCAAAAACAAAAAGAAATAATGGCATGTAGGAAATAAGTGATCAATTTATTTTTTATTGGTTTTTATACCTAAAATCAGAACCCTACCATAGAATGTTCATGAATGTGACTGGAATACAAAATGTTGAAACCCATGCCTGTAGTTGAGTTTTGAGCTCTTTTCTATTTCTTGAAATCTATCCTTTTATTTCTTTTGGGTGGGGGGGGGACTCAGAAACTAAGAGTAGAGAGTGTTGGCTGTTTCTTCTTTCTGTTCTCACGGAAAAGGCAGAAGAGAATGACACAGAAAGAAAGCAGGGTGGCCAGCGAGAAGAGGGAGCCACTTCCATGTGCATGGTATTTTGGTGATCCCTGCCTATTAATAGACATATCTTAAATGGCCTCCTGGACACCAGCCAATCAGGTCATCATTTCCTGGAGAGAAGGGAAGAGTCTATAGTGACGGCTCTTCTTAGGTGTTCAAGTACCAATTTAAGTTTCAGTTTCATTAATTATATTTCCTACCAGTGTGACAATATTGATGGTGACTTTTTTTGGGGGGGAGGGTCAGGTAATGGGATTGAATCCAGTGTCTGGAAATTACTGTTGGAATTTAAGGGAAAACCATTCTGTATATATTGATATTGAATTGTTATTTGTGGTACTGAGGCTGGCCTTAGGCATCACTCTTGGTAGGCAAGCACTCTGTTACTCAGAGATATCTCTAGAACCCTTTCCCTTTTTCTTAGCATATGTGTATGAGTGTTTTGTCTGTATGTTTGTAAACACACCTATGTTATACAATGTCCACAGAGACCAGAAGATTGTATCAGACACCCTGGAACTGGAGTTATGGACAGTTATTAGCTGCCATATGGATGCTAGGAATCAAACCCAGGTCTTCTGCAAGAGCAGCCAGTGCTCCTAGCCTCTGAGCCATCTTTCCAGCTCCAATTTTATTTTAAAAGAATTAAATTTATGTGGGGCTGGACAGACGACTCGATAGTTAAGAGTATTGGCTGCTCTTGCTGAGGACTCGGGTTCAGTTTGCAGCACCCACATGGCAGCTAACAACTGTCCGTAACTTCAGTTCAAGGGGATCCGATGCCTTCTTCTGACCTCCGCATGTATTGCACAACGCAGGTGCACTTACATATATGCAGGCAATACTCTAATACACATAAAATAAAAATAAGTAAAATATTTTTAAAATTTTAAATTTATGTGAATGTGTGTGTGAATGTATATCGCATATGTGTGCGTGCCTGATGAGGCCAGAAGAGAGTGTCAGATCCCCTGGAGCTAGAATTATAGGCAGTTGTGAGCTGCCTGACATGGGTGCTGGGAACTGAACTCAGGTCTTCTGGAAAAGCAGTAAGCAGCTCTTAGCTGTACTGTCATCTCTCCAGTCCGTAAATTTATTTTAGAGAACGTTCTATAGTAAGGAAGTAATGAGGTGTTTCTTACTTTCACTGAGCTCATTTTGTGTGGTTTGCAAACTTGGAAAATTTTCTTCTGAGTGTAGAATCTAAGCATGTTTTTATTTGAAGAACCCACATGGTGAAAGAAGAGAACGGATTCCTGAAAGTTGTCTTTGATCTCTATACATGCACTGTGGTGTGCATGCGTGCTCACACACATACACAAAGTAAAAATAATTATTTTAAGAATGAAAAAAGGTGGTGCATGTCTTTAATCCCAGACTCTGGAGGCTGAGGTAGGTGGATCTCTGTGATATTGAGGCTAGCCTGGTCTTCGATAAGAGGTAAATATGGAAGAAAAGAGCATTACTAGGACAGGGGAGCAACAGGGCAACAGAGCAAGGTTAGGGGGCTACTATTGTTAGAGGGTTATAAAAGGGAGTATAGTAATTAAGGCTGGAAATATTGGCAGGATCAAATTTTGGACCAGATTTTGAGTTTCAGATTTAGAAATTTAGAAAGGGCAATAAGCTTTGTAAAGATTTTTCCAGTATGAGCAAGAAAAAAAATTTTTGACAGGGACTTATGTAGCCCAGGCTGACCTTGAACTCACTGGAGTATTGGGATTGTGGGCATATGCCACCACTTGTGATTCATGTGGTGTCATTGTTTAAACCCAGGACTTAGTGCATGCTGGGTAAATAGTCTACCAACTGAGCTATGTCTGTAGACCTGACCGATTTTTTTTTTTTCTTCCAGAAAGAATAATATATGGAGTAGGAGAGGTTAAGTGTGTTGGATGGAGTGGGTGTAATTATGGGAATGGTCTTTTGAAATTAGGCTGTTGAGGCTCATAGGGCACAGGTAAAGGGCTCTCTTTTAGATAAATGACAAGGCTGTTCTGGGTTTGAAAGGGTGACAGAAGTGTAATTTCCATTTCCACGTAGCTCATTACCTGACAATTTAATGAATATTACTTATAAAAAAAATTTTTTTTTTTTGAGATTGGCTCTTGCCTCTAACTTTTCTGTGATCTCTGCCTTTGTAGCACAGGGATCATAAGCATGCACCACCACTCTGGGCTTTGCATATGAACTTTACATATTTATTTTATGTGTATGTTTGGGCCTGAGTATGTGTACCATGTGCATGCAGGAGCCTAGGATAGGCCTTTGGATACCCTGGAATTGGAGTAATAGGTAGTTGTGAACTACCTGATATGGGTGCTTGGAGACGAAGCTGCATCTTCTGTTATATCAGCCAGGGCTCTTAACCACTGACTCATCTTGCCAGTTTCTGCATGTGAATTTTAACTTGATTACTTCTATAACCTTTTTCTTTGAGATGGGGTCTCATGTAGTCTACCATGGTCTCTATCTATAACTCTGTAGCTGAAGATGACCTTGAATTCCTGATTCTCTATACCCTCCATGCTGAGATTTCAGGTGTGTGCACCACTTTGTTTTTTAAAAGTGATAACCCTGCACTCCTGGATTTATGCAATCCTCTAGCCTCAGCTTCCTGAATAATTTGGACTACTTGTGTGTGCAACTGTGCTGGCTTGATCATTTTTTTAAGGTGAAGTTTTTTTGGAATTCATTTTCTGTCTTTAAGCTTCATTTATTCTTGCAAAGACCTAACGAATGTTCTTCATTTTGTTTTCAGTTTGGCTTTGGCAGAAGAAAAAGCCTATATGTACTGCTTTACTCACTGGAAGAATGTCAGATGACAAAGATGTGCTTCGAGATGTGTGGTTTGGACGGATTCCAACTTGTTTCACTTTGTATCAGGATGAGATAACTGAACGGGAAGCAGAACCGTACTATGTAAGTATGCTAGTCGTGGTAAAGGAGATATTTAACTTTGTCTACTTTTGTAAATAAAATCCTGAGAATCTGGAGACTATTAACAGTTTATATACAACTAATCCATGCTTTAGAAAAAATTAGAAAACACAGACAAGAAAAAAAGAAAATAAAGATCTCCTCTATTGGCTTGGGAGATGGCTCAGTTGGTAGAGTGATTCTCACTTAGGCATGAGGAACTGAGTTTGGCTCCCTGGCACCCACATAAAAAACTGGGTGTGTGCCTGTACTGTTTGCTCTGGGGAGGCAGAGACAGGAGGATTTCTAGGGCTTCCTGGCTAGCTAGCTAATCTAACCAAACCAGTGAGCTCCAGATTCAATGAGAGATCAGTCTGAGAAAGTAAGGTGGAAGTATGAGTGTGTTGCCTGAATGTATATAAGTGCATCTGTGTCGTGCAATGCTGTGTAGGTCAGAAGAGGGAGTCAGATCCATTGGAACTGGAGTTAGGATGGTTGTTAGCTACCATATGGGTGCTGGGAGTTGAATCTGGGTCCTCTGCAAGAACAGCCAGTGCTCTTAACTGCTGCCATTTCTCTAGCTCCCATGATTTTACTTCTTTTTTTAAAATTTTTTTATTTTTATTTTAGGTGTATGAGTGTATTGCCTGCATGTATGTGAGTGCACCTGTGTTGTGCAATGCCGCAGAGGTCAGAAGAGGGCTTCAGATTCCCCTGGAACTGGAGTTAAGGATGGTTCGTAGCCACCGTCTGGGTGCTGGGAGTTGAACCCAGGTCCTCTGCAAGAGCAGTCAGTGTTCTTAACCGCTGAGCCATCTCTCCAACTCCATGATTTTATTTCTTGAAATAAGAGCTCAGGTAGCCCAGGTTGGCCTTGTAGCTGAGGATAACCTTGAACTCCTGATCTTTCTACCTCTACCTCCCAAGTGCTGGGATTACAGGCTAAGTTTTATTTTCAAAGAAGTGGGGTTTTATTTTCAAAGAAGTGGGGTTTTTTTTCTGATTTAAACTCTTAATATTGGCTGGCTTTCTAATACTCTTTTTTTTGGGGAGGGGGTTCTTTTTGAGATGGGGTCTCCCTGTAGCTCCAGCTGTCCTGGAACTCACTGTGTAGACCAGACTGGCCTTGAACTCACAGAGATCTGCCCACCTCTGCCTCCCAAGTGCTAGGATTAAAGCCGTGTGCCACCACGCCCAGCTTCTGATACTCTTTTTAAAAGAGCTCCGGCTACAGGGAGACACTTGTCTCAAAAAGACCAAAAAAAAAGAGTGTATCTGTATACTGTTGTTCAAATGCAGTAACTGAGAAATCATTTACTTGTAGATGAAACTTTGATAGTTGACATAGTTTCTACAGTTAAAATTTCAAGTAAAAAGCTCTTTTTTCCTTCATTATATATGAAACTGTTTAAATATGA